CCTAGCTTGCTGAGGAGTAGCTGCTCAGCCCAGCAATGTCAGGCCATGTGCTGAATCGAGCTAAAATCTGTACAGCCTATGGCAAGATTAAATTAAATATTCTCCTAGAATCTACCGTCTCCTGCGCTCAAATGAACCAGGCTATTTAAACAGACAGACTAGAGCACATGGGATGAACGTGTTGACAAGTTTATCGATGCCCATGGTTTTTCTCTCCACATAATGCATGAAAAATAAACTAAAAATAGTCAGGTGTAACACCTCAGATGCGCTGTCAGGAATTACATCAATGGCAAAGTGATTTCAGCAGCCGTGGGAGCACAGACGTCTTACAAATGACACTAATTAGAACCTATTTCCAAGTGCTTTTCCCCACCTCAAAGCAAAAAAAAAAAAGCAGCAGCAGCAAAGGTTGAGCAAAATGCAATGGATGGTGTCAAGCACAGAAGGGCTGCTAACAAGAGATCAAACTGAATAGGTTCTTCAGCCTGGAAAAGAGGCAGCCGAGGAGAGTACGAGAGAGAAAATCATGAAGTTAACATTTCTAGAGACAGATGAAGTTCTGAGGGGTGTGGAGGAAACAACGTGCAGTCACACCTCAGAACTGCTTTTCCCATCAGAAAGAGTAGAGGACAATCAACTACTATCTTAGGAGTTTTTAAGACAAAGCAGACCTTTTCAACAAAGAATATAATTAAATTATGAAACTTGCTGCTCCAGAATTTTATAGATGCCAAGACTATAAATGGGTTAAAAACAACATATAAAGGAATTTACAAAAATCCACAGGTGAGAATCAAACCCACAGATACAGACATAACCTCCCTCTCAAGAGGTCTCCAAACTGCAGATTGGTGAAAATGAGGAGGTATATGGGAAGCTCACCGTCCACATAGTCTCTTTATGCATTTTTTTTACATGCATCCACCACCACTCACTGTTAGAGACACCCTTCTTGAACCAACAGACCCTCTACCTGACCCAGGCTCAGCATTCTCTTATAAAGCATAGTGCTGCTTTTTCAAGTAGCTGTCTTTTGAAAGGAAAACCGTATGAAGTCTATCTGTCCACCTAGGGTTTCCTTAGTCACCCTGTTCCTTCCCATCATTTGAGAGAGGCAGATGATTATCTAATATGTTGTAATTAAATTGGCAATGGGCTTTTTCTGCTGTCAAGACATGAGTCACTTTTTCATGCACAGATCTGATTCCAGCGACACAGTTGCAAAGGCATCTTTTCAAACTCTTCTCCTTAACACTGGATTAAAATTTTTCTTCCGAGCTGAGCTGTCAGCAAAAACTGCTCTGCAGTGAGTGGCAATCAATCCAGCCTTGTCTCTCAACAAGTTAAGAGTTTTGACATAGCGTGGTTCTCACACAGAGGTTTGCTTAGGACATTTAAACACTTTTAAAAAGTGTAATTTTATTAAAATCATCCACTTTTAGAAAGACAAGCTGTATCTGAAGAAGTTGGCTGTTTGCCTCAGCACCTCTTGAAATTTCAGTAATATGGCCACGTATGCACTTGGGAAGACGTATTTCTTCAGCTTCACTTTATATTTTTCACTCCCTAATGTAGAAAGAAGTGTCAGCCAGGACTTGCCAGGAAATATGTCTGCTGGTACATGGCATACCATCTCAGTGCAGTATTAGCTGTTCAGCAACTGGTTGCTGATCTCTTGCATTACTTGAACAACAAGGATTATAAATTATTCAGCTACAGTATGAAACGGATAAATATGATACAGTTCCCAGATTTCATAAAAGTTAAAACAGCGGGCACAGAATAAAGGGATTACATTATGCAAAAAAACCCAACAAACCAAAACGAAAACAGGATCAGTATGAAGAAAATATTCCCAAACAATGATGCCTATTAAACAGCTGAAAAGTCCCTCGTGGGAAAAGGTGGAGGCTTCATCACTTGAGATATTTAAAACCAGACTAGACAAAGCATTAATCTCTACAGTAGGAGAGGAAATAGATAAAGTAACTTATTAGGCTTTTTTCTACCCATCTCTGATTTCTATGATTTAATACATTTTTTAAAATGCAAACCACATCTGTATAACACAAGAAAGAGGCAGAAATACAATAAAAGGATTTTCGGTTGTTGTGTTGCCCAACACAATGAAACTTGATTTAAAATGAAATTTATGCTAGCAATTCTGACTGCAAGATGACTTCTCTTTGTTTAAGGTCTAGCAGTGAAAGCTTTGCTACTGCCACACAAGTCTCTAAAAAGATGATTTACCATCCCCAGACGGGAGATTTATTCTCCGTGCCAGAACTCTTTATAAACTGTGATGGTTCAACTTTTGACAAGGGGAGCTGATGCAAAGGCATAACGGTCCTTTACAGAAAAGCAGTGGAGTATGAGGTTTGTGCCTACGGTCTGGCAGACTTATAAACTCCCTGAGGAATCTCCAGCACTAAATATTTACTGATGTCACTCAAAGGATAACATCTAATCTGCTAGTATGAAACCAAAAGCAGACTCTCAGAACAGCCTCTTTCCCTTATAAGATATTCAAAGGGATAAGGGATTCTTAAAATTATTTCAAAATTCTCACTTCCTCTTCCCCCAGTATTTTTTATCTCCTTGAAGGCACTGCTCCATTTAAGATAAATCACACTGTCTTGTTTTTGTAGAAATATGAAGAAATCCAGAGAAAAAAAAACCAAGCTGAGAAACCTTGGGATAGCTAAAATAGCCTGTTTAAGAATGGAACACCGTGGACCTTTCACACCCCCCCATCATCCACGCAGGGAGATGAAACCAGGACGTACAACTGCTGCCCAAGAAATCCAAGATGCACAACTGAGGTAACTCAGTCACTGAGGTAACGAGGGGAGTGTGGCAGGTCATAGTGGTCCACGGGATTGGGACAGCCTCTCGCTACTTTTGAACCAGCCAAGCCAAGGCAGGGTACAGCCAACTGCATACTCTGCTTTGACATCAAACTGCTGTAACAACCTGCTCCCATTTCCCCTCTGCACCCCATTCACTCTCACATCCTGGCTGCAATTTGCCATCTTTTCAGTATGAATCTTGCTTTGCTTGACTGAGCTGTGAACTCAGTATAGTAGAAAAGGATGCTTCGTTTCAAAATGTTGTTTACCCACAGTTCCACGTAGCCTTGTCCCAGCAGAGGGAGCAGAAAGGCAACGGGGGAAAGTGAGTTGAATCTAACCCTGGAAATGGTTAGAATTAGGAAAAACAACAGTTCTGTACCCTAATAGCAAGGAACTCCCTCAAACACAACGTCACCTACCTTCCTGCGAACCTCCTTAGTTCCCCTTCCTCTGGCTGAAGTGGTGTGTAGCCACTTCACTGAAAAGCTGTTTTTTCCTATACTCTACTTGTCTGTTTGGCTGTGTGCTGCTGGGCTCATCTGTAACTTCAGGTAATCAAGCCCATTGGGAAGAGCGTCTATTCTTGGGCACTTCGTAAAATGTTGCCAGCCCTGAAGTCTGCCAACAGTGTTATCAGGACAAGAGCTCACCTATTTTAAGTGTTTTGTATTAGCATATACAGTTTTGCAGGCATATAATCAATATAGAAGGACAAAGCTCACAATGCAGCTAAACCAGACGTCAACTTCGTAGCTTTAAACAGTTAACATAATAGAGGGAATAGGCTGAAATCTAAAGATTTCTTCAAATTATAGCATTCAAAACTTTGCATTTGGAAAGTAAAAATACTCAGCTGTAGTAGCATCAAATGCCTTCTAATTACCAAATGAATTTTAAAGCCCAAAGGGGTCAGTAGGAAAAACATTAAACTCCCTTTGCAGCTCTACCCCAAATTCCTTATTTAAAACACAGCCCCTTTGTCCCAGGCACAGACCCCTCTCTGCTTTGCACAGCCCCGAGGACCCACATCCTCTTCATGAACCCACAGGCCCTGCTCTCCATGTAAAGCCTCCTCTGATAATTGCCCTTGAGGCTCTGGCCTCAGGCCACATTTGCAGAGAGCTTCATCCCTCACTGGGTCCTGCTAAGAGGACGGTCCAGCTCAGCACATCCTTCCTGGTGTTGTGCCCAGCACCTGCTACTGCATCATCCTGCCCCAGCCCCCAGGGGAGGCCACTACATCATACTGTAAACGAGCAGCTGGTGAGGATACAGTCTGCATCCATAGGACAAGTGGGAATTTAAAAAAAAAAAAAAATAAAAAAATCTCATTTGGAGTAAATTAATCCTGTAGTAATGAATCTGTCTGTAACACTTTGTACTCAGTTGAGTCACATGTCTGGGCAAAGCAGGAATAAAATCCTACTGAAAGGGAATTGCCTTGGCTTGCAGGCAGTATTTCACAACCACAGGAGCCACTATTCTCCAAGGAGAGAAAAAAGTCGCAGAAAGGGAAGGAAACGCAGGCAGGCAGGCACGTGGGACCTGATTCTAGCCCCATTTACACTGATTTCAGCAGAGCTGTTCCGCTGCAGAGAACGAGAGAGTTTTCAGTTCTAAGTCTTAAGGATGATGGAGAATAAAATAATGAAGGAGTAATATCTGAAGTTCTTCTAGTCTCAGTCACATAGCAAATATCTTTTCCAGAAATAATTGAGACCTCCTTGCAATTCTCAATGGTCATATTATAAGTCATACAGGAGTTTTATGAGACCAAAGCTGTAATAACGTGCCCTGGCTGAGCAGCAGAATGGCCACACAATCAATATGTTTTTGCACGCTCACATTTTTGAACGGATTAGTATTGCAGCACGGTCTAAAATAACAGCATAAATTTAACAGGGTGGCAGTCTTAAAAGTAGTGAAGCATAATAACAGGTGTATTTATTTGTGCTGTGATATCTAACTGATACCACTGTAATCCTGCCCAGATTAGGCTCCATTTTAAAAAAGAGTACAAAATAACTGGTGCTGGAGCCAAGATCATCTTAATCAACTCAAAATCAAAAGGCAAAGACAACAGGTAGCACTACAGACATGTTGTGCAGAGGTAATACATGTATGTCACACATTTGCAAAACCTACTTCCTCTATTAGTCAGCCCTTTATTAGAGACACTGTATTCAGACAAATTGAACAAACCCTAAAACATACAAATCCCTAACACTACAAATACATCTTTTCCCAAAGTTTTGAAGTACCATAAAACCACATAAGTTTCTATTTTTCTTGCTTTTTTTTGACATGATTGTTGTTGGATGCTTAAAATTTATTAGTTCATAGATAAGTCAAACCTTTCAGTATACCAGGATTGGAGATAGATGATATCTCTTCTAACTATATGTGCTTTACCACAAACATTAAAAACAATTATTTAGGAATAGTCATTTCTATGAATTCTGAAAATATTTTAGTTATAATTGTTATCAAGTTGTTACAGAAAAGTCTGAAACATTTCCTTTAATCATTCAGTACAAGTTTCGTTAACTCCATACACTTGAAAACTATAATTTCTCTAGAAGTTTTCTTCTCACATGTGTCTATATGTACATACACACACATATATATGCACTATTAGAAAATGAGTGTCAAGAAAAGCAGGACTTTTACATTTCCACATTTTCCCTATGTTTGCAATAGGAATGAAACTGTAGATACCATCTGTGCAATCTACAAAAATTGGACCATCGTGACAGACACAACAACCACTTATGTTCTTCTTCTCAGCCTTTTTCATTCTTACCAAAGTATACAAATATATTGTTAGGCCACACATTCACTCTTCATGCAACAAACCCCCTCTCCCTCTTACACTGCCTTGAAATTACTAAATCTTGTGCCCAATCCAAAAACTGTGCTTTAACTGCTCAATTCCTCCTTCTCAGTTTTTACTCTGCTGTGCACAGGAAAAATGAGTTTGCAGCTGTGGCATTGACTAGACCTAGTTATACACATAAACATTAAATATTTCTTACTTTTTGTGCTCTTCCAGTTCAAAAAGTAGCCTAAACCATGCAACATACAAGCAAGCCTTACAGGCCCTGATTCTATTTGTGGAATGGTAAATCATCAGTAATTCCTCTGTACTCAACTAATCAAGACACGCTTATTGCCACATCTAGAGTGCCATCAGCTCACAATGGAGACAGAGGGAGTTCAGGGTATTAAGCATTTTTAAGGACTATGTGTTAAACAGAAACCTTCCCCAAGTCATAGCACCTCCTTACCATGCTCATTCTGTGAGCTCAGAAAGCAAAAAAAAAACCCCAAACCCAACAGTTAACCATTTCAGAATTTTTCTGATATTTATATTAGTCATTGAAGGTCCATTTCCTAATTGTTGGGGGGAAAAAAAAAAAAAATAAAAAAAAATCTATCTTGAAAGCTGATGTCACATTCTCCAGTGTATCTACCACAGAGTAGGTGGGCAAGAAGTTGGTCAGGAAATTTGTTAGGAGGACCGATGGGTTGGAAACGTGGTGGGGTGGTGGAAATTCTGGAAGAGAGGGTAAGCATAACAGAACACAGCCAGAGAAGTCTGCAGAGCTCTGAACCCTCAAAAAGAAAGCCTAAGGTGTATGCACACTGAAAGAAGAGCATCTAGAGAAGAGCAAATTTGTGGCTGGGTCCCTGGAAGTACTCATTAGCAGGAGTAGCTCAGAGGGAGTTGCAAGTACATGACAGATAAACTGAGCTTCTGCTTGGGGAAAGTGTTCTGCAGACATGATTTCTGTTCTGCAGACAGAAAAAAAAGGTTCCTCGTGTTGCAGAATGCAAAAAATCTGTGACCATTGGCCTCCCACAAGTATTTCTGCTATAACAAGAAACTGAAAAACCAATGGCAGCTTGTTTTCTAATATTAGCTAACAAAGTGATTTTGTTTGCTATAAATGATAAAAAACAGATATTCCAAAGCATAAGATGCTTTGGATGAAGAGATGCTGCACTTTGACCTGGCAGGTGCCTGTCATACTAATTTCTTCTAGGGTGGAACCTGCAGCCTTGACTCCCGTGATCAAGCTGACAGAAAGCAAAAGGCTACTCATTTCAATAGTGGTAGAAGCAGGCACCAAGTTTGGCAATTTTGCTTTATCCCTTTCTACAGCCTGGCCTTTTAAAATCAGCATGTAAATTTTATTTCCATTATTTTGCTGAAAAAAAGGAGGAAAAAAAAAGAAACCAAAAGAAATAAAAGGGCCATGTAACTAAGGCCACTGGTTCCATTTACTGGGATGGAAAACAATAATAAATAAGAATATGAAGACAGGATAATATGCTACACATGTGGCAACATATCTTATTTTACTGTATTTTTTATCAAGATGACATGCAGTCTAGAACTTCATGGCAAACACACTGGCAAAAACCATAAACCATGAGAATAACAAGGCTTGAAGGAACAAGGCTTACAAAGACAACCCCAAGGGTGACTTTCTTAGATACCAGTAAATAAATCCCTAAAGGCAAGGAACTAAAGTACAGCAACCCTAGCAACCACACTAGCACCCGAATTGAAGTCTGGAAGAGCAAAGATGTGCAGTTCCACACTGTCCAGTTGTGGGACACAGTTGCAACAGAGTCAAAACTTGTAGGCCTGTAAAATTCCACCACGGGGGTTGAGTTCAGAGTCTGGGGACTTTCTCTTTGTACTTCCATGATTGTTATAACCAGGCAATTAGAGGAGGTGTGAGAAGGGCTAACCAGAGATGCCAACCTTTTGGGAGTCAGCAACAGTTCTGTTGGGTTGTCTGGTAGGCACTTCTTTCCCTTTCCCCCACAAGCTAAATTCAGAAGGATGTTGTTGTCGTCAGGAAGACTACTAACCTCATCATCTGGCAAGCATGTTTCAAACCTGCAAAACGGGCATACTATGACTCCTTGCGGGGAATCACCGAAGTCTATGATCTTGCAAAGGCATTTGGCACATACTCTGTGACAACACTCCAGCACTTTTGGTTTCCTCTGTCTCAGGTTGTAGCGGTTGTAACAGATCTTGCACTCAAGCTCATCTGAGCTCTGGGTCTCCACAGACTCCTCTGGTAGTTGACTGGTCATGTCTCCTGATGGTTTTTAGACTTGTGGAAAGAGGAGTCAAGGGGCGATGAGGTCACTCAAGCTTATTTTAGAACTTTTTCCTGATGGTCGTATCACCCATCTCAAACAGGAAGAGAGGAGAAGACATTGTCGACAAGCATCAGTAGGTGTCATCCCTTTTCAGCTTCTGCTAGGGACTGTGCACTGCATGCCCTTTACTCCGAGCCAGGCATCCATCTGAAAAAGACAACGTGAAATTTCTGTGAAAGAAAAGAAAAAGTTGTAGCAGGTGAAATATGCAAGTTCCACTTTTTACAAGCTTAGCCTCCTTTGCTAAAAATATCTCTACAGTATTTTTTTTTTCCTGTGGCATATGGGGCCTGTATTGCAGTCATGCTGATAAACCTTAGTATCACGCTGCATGCATTTGTTTTAGACTTGTAACTTTGACTGGCTCAAGCCCATGAAGTTCTCAGCAGAAGCTGCAATCTAATCACTGATCTGTGACCGCTTGCTTAAACCCTGGTTTCCTAAGGAAATGAGACCTGACCCCTGGAGCTTTTAGTCTTTCTCGGTAACTTGTGAACCTGCTGTCCCATCTCAAATAAATTGGCAGAGGGGCAGCAGTACTGAAGATAATTAGGTTTCTAAAAAAGTAGTGAAGGTTGGGAGTTGGGTAGAGGAGGGGGAAGAGGTATTTTTAATAACTTCACTTATCCTGGAGGGCAATGGTCACCCATAGCATACCCAGGCTCTGCTCTGAACAGGCAGTGTGATGCCCGCTGCTCAGCCAGAGGGGAGGGCAACACAGAGGGAAGCTGGTGATACTTTGGGGAAATAAAGGGTTTTTGGGGATGGAGTGGGTATGGAAGAGGTATGTGGGGACATACGTCAAATTGGGACAAGATCAGGCTGCATTAATTTTGCTGCCTGAGGAACAGCTCATTTCTCTGTCCCTTCACCTAGCTGCTGAACACAGACAGTGAAAATGAGGGCTCTTTAGGCTTGCAACAAATGCCTCCTTTAATGTGCGGATGCTGGTGTGAAGGCTAACATGTCTCTCATGGGCATCTTCCAGATGCACTGGCTTTCAAGTGTTTCGTGGCAGCGACAGGCGTTTCACACCTCAGCTAAGGAGAGGCCCATGGTGTGACTGCGGCCCGCGGTGTGACTGCGCTACTGCTCTCTGCAGCCTCTTTGCCACCAGGCCCACCAGCCACCCTTAAAAACCCGTTTTGTCATATTTTGTAACCATGCATTTTCAAGACTTCAGGAAATAGCCTATGTATTATAAACAAAACGTTAAGCAGGACGATGTCCTCCGGGTAGCAGTAACTACCAGCATTCACAAACCAGCTCTGTCTGCCAGAGGATATAAAATTCTTCCAAATTTAGGCATATGCTCGCTCACAAAGACGGGTGCAACACTGCATTTTGCAGGCTTTCAAACGTATTCCTTCCCTGCTAGAGTAGCAAGGAACTTGCCATGGTCAAATGATGGGAATCAGCACTTGTGTCCAGCTGCCTCCCCCACTATCAATAAATGGTAGGCACATGGAATATGAAAAAAACTGGCCAATTTCAATCAATTTATTACTTGTCTTGACTATTACTTTGGGGAAATGTTTGCTTCCTTTCCCTTTTCCTTTACTCACTCCTAGCATTCAGGTCTTTGTCCTTTTTTTTTTTGAGAACAAGGCAGAAAGTTCTCTCTTTTAAGCAATGTGCTCCTTCTGTCAATATATTTTCCCTGCCAGTCGTCAGGTACAATAAAGTCTCTTTCATGGGCCTCTGGTTGTTGCTGTACTTCAGGTATTTCCCATTCTCTCTCAACTTTCTCTACCACGTAGCTTTTCTTACTAATGTAATTTCTAAAACTCACCTCCTGGATATTTAAAACAAAGATGATACACTTCAGACAATGCAGCAATGAAAAAAAGATGACGACATATTGATGAAAAAGAGTATTTCTATAAGAATTTATAACAGACATGGCCCCCTCTCTGTTCAGTTTTCTTAACTTTTTTTCCTGCCTCTTCCAACTTATTTCTTTGGTGCTCTAAAAGTTCTCATCTCTGCCCCACAGCTGTTTTTATTATTTGCACTGCGACTATATTTGTGGTGTGTTCCATTAGGCAAGGCAAATATGAGAAGGTTGATCCATAATTTTCAGAGTGTACAAGCTAAACATCTTATAAGAGACAAAAAGTACATCTTTTACAGATCTTATAACCTATCCTTTATCCTTTGTTACACTGTGTGCTTCCTTATTCGTTTCTACTATTCTTTTTATTTCATTCCAAATACCATCTTCTAGATGACTTTTAGGCATATATAAATGTCAAGTGATGCTAACTTTCCAAAGGATGAAGAAACCATAAAACAGACCTAAAGAAGTGAAATGCCTGCCTACAGGAAGGCAAAGCACTGCTGAAAAGTTTATAAGCCAAAGAAAACAAGCAATGGTTTTGAACTTTTACATCTTGAGTGTCATTCATCTTCTGTACCTGAGATGAATTAGGATTGCTAACATGTTCATGCTTCACAGCTAAGGCTCCAAATGTTGCCAATGACATAAAACTAGATTTCTGACTAACCAAAAATCTTACAGAAAATGTGCCTGCTTCTCATAGAAAATTGTGACCTTTCTCTGAAAAATCCCAACTAGAAAATCTTTATATTTTATTTATTATATATTATATATATATATATAAATATATATATATAATATATATATTATATATTTATTATTTATATTAATCTTTTGAATGAATACTTCTAGATTTTCACAAAAAGCAGGCCACTTTCCAACCAGCTCTATTCTGCCTGAATCTGTTTTAAAAACTGAAACTATTCTCCTCATTCTATGCCCTTTAAGTGGTCAAATTTAGCATTAATACAGGGAGTAACAAGTCCCTGGGACTAGCAATGTCCCAACTGCTAAATTGGGACCATTAGCTTCACTTCCAGAACACAATGATCCTCTTATTGTAGTTTTTGTCATGAGCTATTCCACAAATTATTTCCAAACCGTTTTTTTTAGTGTACTGTACAAGAAAGGCTACTTGCATCATCTTTCTTCACAGAATCTCTTCAAAACATTCATCAGTAATAAAAGATCATTGACTGTTTTTTCTTTGGCTAAATTTAGATGTTGAATTTCTCCTTACGTGTTCTACTGTGATTACTGCTTACTACTCTTCTTCACTTATACATCTTTTCCTTTGAAAATTAAAATTTAATCACTAATTCCTATTAATGTTATTCATACATTTTTTACCTTCTCAGCTCTATGGTGGTTTTAAATGCTTCCTCTGTCTTTTTTGCTTTCCTGATTTCTTAGGGAGTTTTCTATTTTTCCTTCTCAATAACCACTTCCCTGCCTATTTTTTCTCTGCTGAGAACTAACCTTTTGGGAGTCAGCAACAGTTCTGTTGGGTTGTCTGGTAGGCACTTCTTTCCCTTTCCCCCACAAGCTAAATTCAGAAGGATGTTGTTGTCGTCAGGAAGACTACTAACCTCATCATCTGGCAAGCATGTTTCAAACCTGCAAAACGGGCATACTATGACTCCTTGCGGGGAATCACCGAAGTCTATGATCTTGCAAAGGCATTTGGCACATACTCTGTGACAACACTCCAGCACTTTTGGTTTCCTCTGTCTCAGGTTGTAGCGGTTGTAACAGATCTTGCACTCAAGCTCATCTGAGCTCTGGGTCTCCACAGACTCCTCTGGTAGTTGACTGGTCATGTCTCCTGATGGTTTTTAGACTTGTGGAAAGAGGAGTCAAGGGGCGATGAGGTCACTCAAGCTTATTTTAGAACTTTTTCCTGATGGTCGTATCACCCATCTCAAACAGGAAGAGAGGAGAAGACATTGTCGACAAGCATCAGTAGGTGTCATCCCTTTTCAGCTTCTGCTAGGGACTGTGCACTGCATGCCCTTTACTCCGAGCCAGGCATCCATCTGAAAAAGACAACGTGAAATTTCTGTGAAAGAAAAGAAAAAGTTGTAGCAGGTGAAATATGCAAGTTCCACTTTTTACAAGCTTAGCCTCCTTTGCTAAAAATATCTCTACAGTATTTTTTTTTTCCTGTGGCATATGGGGCCTGTATTGCAGTCATGCTGATAAACCTTAGTATCACGCTGCATGCATTTGTTTTAGACTTGTAACTTTGACTGGCTCAAGCCCATGAAGTTCTCAGCAGAAGCTGCAATCTAATCACTGATCTGTGACCGCTTGCTTAAACCCTGGTTTCCTAAGGAAATGAGACCTGACCCCTGGAGCTTTTAGTCTTTCTCGGTAACTTGTGAACCTGCTGTCCCATCTCAAATAAATTGGCAGAGGGGCAGCAGTACTGAAGATAATTAGGTTTCTAAAAAAGTAGTGAAGGTTGGGAGTTGGGTAGAGGAGGGGGAAGAGGTATTTTTAATAACTTCACTTATCCTGGAGGGCAATGGTCACCCATAGCATACCCAGGCTCTGCTCTGAACAGGCAGTGTGATGCCCGCTGCTCAGCCAGAGGGGAGGGCAACACAGAGGGAAGCTGGTGATACTTTGGGGAAATAAAGGGTTTTTGGGGATGGAGTGGGTATGGAAGAGGTATGTGGGGACATACGTCAAATTGGGACAAGATCAGGCTGCATTAATTTTGCTGCCTGAGGAACAGCTCATTTCTCTGTCCCTTCACCTAGCTGCTGAACACAGACAGTGAAAATGAGGGCTCTTTAGGCTTGCAACAAATGCCTCCTTTAATGTGCGGATGCTGGTGTGAAGGCTAACATGTCTCTCATGGGCATCTTCCAGATGCACTGGCTTTCAAGTGTTTCGTGGCAGCGACAGGCGTTTCACACCTCAGCTAAGGAGAGGCCCATGGTGTGACTGCGGCCCGCGGTGTGACTGCGCTACTGCTCTCTGCAGCCTCTTTGCCACCAGGCCCACCAGCCACCCTTAAAAACCCGTTTTGTCATATTTTGTAACCATGCATTTTCAAGACTTCAGGAAATAGCCTATGTATTATAAACAAAACGTTAAGCAGGACGATGTCCTCCGGGTAGCAGTAACTACCAGCATTCACAAACCAGCTCTGTCTGCCAGAGGATATAAAATTCTTCCAAATTTAGGCATATGCTCGCTCACAAAGACGGCTGCAACACTGCATTTTGCAGGCTTTCAAACGTATTCCTTCCCTGCTAGAGTAGCAAGGAACTTGCCATGGTCAAATGATG